TCTCCCCTCTCCCCCTCTCCCCTCTCCCCCTCTCCCCTTCTCCCCTTCTCCAATTTACATTCAACTACCCAGGCGACAGAGTACAGTTGAACCTATATGCTAGCGGTCACCACGAGGGAACAGACAAGTGTCTACAGAAGACGTCTTTTTATCTTTCCCTAATGGGGTCGTTATGTACGTATACAGGTTTGTCTGTACAAGCAACGTACGTAAAGATAGAGAGAGAGAGAGAGAGAGAGGGGAGAGAGGGGGGAGCGAGAGAGAGAGAGAGAGAGAGAGAGAGAAAAAGAGAGAAAGAAAGAGAGAGAGAGAGAGAGAGAGAGAGAGAGAAGGTACGAGAGGTGATGTGGAGGAGGAGAAGGTCTATCTTACAGCCTTGATGTGCTTACTGTAAGAGGAGATAAAACGCTTGATGCACACTATGATATTTGCGCTCTCAATCACTGACCCCTCTATACGTATAATCAGCCTAGTGTACTGATCCTGCCCTGTACGTGGTATAACTACAGCGCTGGCCGCAGCCACCAGCGCTGGTTCGAAGTGGATGAGTGGGGGTGGTGGCGAATGACGGGAACAGCCTAATCGATCTATACAGGTAAATATCGTCTGTTTGATCAGCAATCGTGTGGCAGGCAGGTGCAACAAACAAGCAGCCACCCCCCTCACACACACACAGCACACCACACACACACAGCACACACACACATCACCACATCACACACGCGACGCACGCCACACCCACGCACACCGCCACGCACGACACGCGCACACACGCGCACCGCAAGGCACGTACGCACATACACACACCACACAACAGTCCACACACAACCACACACACCCACAGCATCACACACATTCCAGCATACAGACACGACACACACACTCTCTCCGTCTCTGCTCTTTTCTCTCTCTCCTCCTCTCTCTCTCTCATCTCGTCTCTCTCTCGACGCTCTCTCTCCTCTCGCTCTCTCTCTCTTTCTCTCCTCCATCTCTTCTATCGTACTCACTTATCTCTCTCTCTCTCTTCCCTTTCCCTCCCACTCTTGCTGTTTTCTCTCGTTCCCTTTCTTTCACTCTCCTCTTTCTGTTTTCTCTCTCTCTTTCTCTCTCTCTCTCTCTGGGCCACGGTGAAATCAGCATGACAAGAGAAACTGACTGGGGATCGATAGAAAGCGCGCTGTCTGAATTCGCAGAGCCAGGGTTTTTCACTCGCGCTGTAAACTCTACAGATGACAAGCGAGCGTTCGTCCGTGGCGTAACGCAGCCAACGACCCGTGCATTGCCACGTATACGTGACACATACGACGCCGGCGGGGGCGTGACACGAGCTGCCGCTGCCGCCCTGTCGCTCTGTCATGCGGTGTCACGTAGCCAGTGTCCCGTCATGTAATCAATTATCTCTGCCAGTCCAACGGCCGAGTCAGTGTTCGCAGAGCCGGGGGTCAAGCATAGGTCCAGCAGTGATACACGGCAGGTGATGTATCACGTAGTGTCACAGCTAATGACACGTAGTGCAGTTTCGTGTCCAGTCACATAGTGTCACTGATAGTGTTCTCCCATACAGTGTCACAGCTAGTGTCGCAGCAAGTGACATATCATATAGTGTCACAATTAGTGTCCTGTTATACAGTGTCACAGCTAGTGTTCTGTCATACAGTGTCACAGCTAGTGTCGAAATCAGTCTCCCAGCATGTTACGTATCATATAGTGTCACAGCTAGTGTCAAAGTCAGTGTTGCAGCAGGTGACATATCATATACTGCCACAGCTAGTGTCCTGTCATACGGTGTCGCAGCTAGCTTCTCCCATCCCTCTCATAACTTACACCACCTCACCCCCTCTAATCCGACACCACCTCACCCCTCGACACCTCGCCCCCTCAAAACCTCTGAGAGTGCTCCTGCCCGCGCTAAGCACCGGAGTGGAGTGGCAAGGCTGGTCCAACAAAGGCTTACGTACATGGTCGTCATCTCCCCGCGACAGCAAGGTAGGTAGGTAGGAGGTAGGCAGGAGATTATACCCAGGCAGATAGCTAGGGCAGGCCAGCAGGCAAGCAGGCTACAGGCAGCAGGCAGGCAGCGAGCAGCAAAGCAGGCAGGACAGGAAGCAGCAGGTAGGCGAGAAGCAGGCAGCAGGCAGGACAGGCCAGCAGGCAGGCAGGCGCAAGCAGGCAGGCAGGAGGCAAAGGCAGGAGCAGGCAGGCAGGCAGGCAGGAGAGAGACAGAAAGAACAGACAGAACAGATAGAAAATGACGGTATGTGTAGTACGCCGATAGTACAATACAACTGGGGTTGTGAAGCTGCTGCTACTGTTTAATGCTGTTACTGATGCCTCGCTGCTGCTGCTGCTGCTGCTTATACTGATGCTGCCTACGCTGCTACTGCTAATTGCTACTTGTTACTGATGCGCTGCTGCTGCTGCCTACTACTGTGCTACTGGCCCTGTACGGATACTGCTGCTGATGCTGCTACTGTTACTTATGGCTGCTGTACTGCACTGCTGCTACTACGTACTGCTGCTGCTCTGCTGGCTGCTGCCTGCTGCTGCATTTACTGATGCTGTACTGCCTGTACTGCTATTCTATACTTTACTGATGCTGCTGCTGCTGCTGCTCTACTGCTGCTACTGCTACAATACGCTGCTGATCGCTGGCTACTGTACTCATGCTGCTGCTACTGCTACTGCTGCCTTCTGCTGCTGCTGCTGCCTGCTGACTGCTGCTGCTGTTATTACGCGTACGTGACCGGAATGGAGCCAAGAGAGGATTAGAGAGCACGCACGGATTAAAGTCGAGTACTTATTCTCTCTCACGCTGAGAGAGCGAGAGAGAGAGAGAGAGCGAGAGCGAGAGAGGGAGATAAAAAGAGAGGGTGGAGATTCGCGGCTGTTAAAAAATTTGATGAACTGTTTCTCTAACAGACTGCCGCTGGCTGACTGACAGCTGACTGGCTGGCTACGGGATCATGTGACCGGGATGACGTATATGGATAGCACTGCGTTAACGAGGGTGTTAACAATGGAGGAGGGTTAGGGTGATAACATTACTGCTAACACTGATGCGCGGCGGGACAATTCAGATTGATAGCATTGCTATATATACTAAACATTGGTGTCTACTAAACATGGGTGGTTTTATATCAACTGAGGGATGAAAATATTTGTAGGAAGGGTGATAAACTTAGTGTAGATAAACAATGGCGATTGGGAATATTGCTTGCTGATGGCCATTGACAGGTGATAATATTGATAGGTGATAAAATCTGCAGGTGATAGCAAGGCTGGGCGATGACAATGGTCGATGATAACAATGATAGATAAAAAACAATGCAGGACAATAACAATCGTAGATGATAACAATGGCGGACAATAACAATTGTAGATGATAACAATGTCGGACAATAACAATCGTAGATGATAACAATGTCGGACAATAACAATCGTAGATGATAACAATGTCGGACAATAACAGTTAGGAATGATAACAATGATGTGCAGTAACAATGGTGGTCGGTAACAATACTGGGTGATAGCAACGGCCGATAATAACATTAGAGTCGTTGATTAGAATCGTGTCGATGCTAGCGTATGGTGGAGGAGGGGATAACGAACAACGATGACAAACGCATACTAGCAAGGGACCCCCGCCTCCCCATGTTTTCGCTCCATAACGCATCGATAGCGTGGAGTGGTGGTGGTGGTGGTGGGGGGGGGGCACCTCAGCGTGGGGCGCTACGGCCATCAATCACTCTAACTCGCATTAATCAATACGCTCCTGACAGCGTGCGTTTATACACGTTTTGCGCAGTACGAAGCAGTGCGGTGTTACGGCGTTCTCTCAGGCGAAACGCGCGAACAGCAACGTGGCAGCATGATGGGGAAATAGAGTGGACGGGAAAGGAGAGAGAGAGAGGCAGAGAGAGGGGGAGAGAGAGGGAGAGAGAGTGGGAGAGAGAGAGAGAGGCAGAGGCAGAGAGAGGGGGAGAGAGAGGGAGAGAGAGGGAGAGAGAGAGAGAGGGAGAGAGAGAGAGGGGGAGAGAGAGAGAA